ATCATGTTCGCCTATTAGAAAGTCGATTTTCAGCCAAAGGGTTTTCGAAAATTTCAGTCCTCGAGAATTCCTAGAATTTACGTCATTTCTCGGAAATGACGAAATTTCCAAGAATCGAGTCGATTCCAAGAAGCGACCTCCTGTCACATCATGTTCGCCTATTACAAAATGAGAATTTTCGATTTTCGAAAATTTTTGGCCGAAAATCGACTTTGTAATAGGCGAACATGATGTGAAAGGAGGTCGCTTCTTGGAATCGACTCGATTCTTGGAAATTTCGTCATTTCCGAGAAATGACGAAAATTCCAGGAATTCTCGGGAACCGACATTTTCGAAGGCCCATTGGTCAATTCTTGGAATCGACACGATTCTTGGAAATTTCGTCATTTCCGAGAAATGACGAAAATTCCAGGAATTCTCGAGGACTTGAGCACCGAACGAGTGTATTCGCGCGATTTTCGAAATTTTCGCCTAATTTCCGTAGTTCTCGCTAGAATTTCGGGATTTTTTCGATTTTTTCGATGAAAATGGATTCCTGGGGGTCTTTGGCATTGATTTATTCAATTTTGCATTGGAATATTGTTTAAACAATCTCTAATTTCCGTAGTTCTCGCTAGAATTTCGGGATTTTTTCGATTTTTTCGATGAAAACGGATTCCTGGGGGTCTTTGGCATTGATTTATTCAATTTTGCATTGGAATATTGTTTAAACAATAGGTTTTTTTGCAAAAGGAAAAGGATTTGATGCGTAAAGGTGAAGTAAATAGATTGTAAAATGCTGTAAAACAATTCTGGTATATTGTAACCTTTTCTAATATACATTTTGGACAATAATTTAACAATAAATAATTGATTTTTCCATAAATAATTTTATTTCTTCATTTTTGCTGATGTTCAAAACTTTTCCATGACTTCTGATCGTGTCCAGTGATGATCATCTGTATTTCATATGAAATAACATTAATTTTTCTAATTGTTAATAAAAGTTCTAAACAATTTCGGGCTAATATACTGAATACAATGGTTAATTCAATGTAAAAGTAGTATTTCAAGCTATTTTATTAAGTTAAAGCGTATAATAATTTTATTTAAGACTTCCAATAATTATAAACAACCGTGTAAATTGTTTTTCTACAGGAAATACTAATTATTCTGTAATTACAGTACTTGAAAATAAACCAGAAATTGTATTTTACTGTCTAACTTCGTAGTAATGTTAAAACAATTAAAAATTTACTATATGTATCAATTTGGATCTGCTTAGTACATGCAATGATGTTCTAATTTACAATAAATATTATCGGAGGTGAAAGATTCAAGGAATTCTCGTTATATTGTAACAGAAGGCACGAGATCGTAATTTTTCATTAGCGATCAATTTACATCTGTCGACTTTACCATCTTGGATGGTTGGATTGTAATTCCTAAACTCACCGTTCTATTATCATAGAGGGCATAACAAAATGTCTGATTTTTTACACGATCGGTATTTCAGAACGTGAGACATAAAGTTTCGTAATATGATCGGTTTATTCTGTACGTCGTCTGTGATAATACTTATAAAATCTAGCTATCAACAGTAATAATAAGCAGCATAATTATATGTTCATTTGTAAACTACCATGGTGTCATAAAACTTAATAAATGTTTTACAAAAATAAATTAAACTTGATCAAAGGCAGTAGTTATCGATTGATCATTATACCACGATGGTAATCAGGAGCAACTTCACGATGGTGTGGTGTCGAAGAAATGGCGGATTGTTTTTACACGGGGGGAATTGTAAAAATTTAAGCGTGAGACATGTGGGTGTTGTGACGATTCACGAGCAAGTAGTCAATTAAATACTCGTTTCGGCATGAGTGACCACTTTTGGGAACCTTTAGCCGAAGTATACATCGCGGAACAACCAGAGGTTTCTGACTCTGATAGATACATTTATTGTCTTTGCAGCAGAATATTTGTTCGGTAAATACAGTTGCGAAAATATGAATCATTTATTCTACTAAACGTCGCAATTTCACCCCTACATCCTGTATCAGTGGCATTTATATTGTCTCTTACAAAATTGAGAATATTACTCGTTTATCGATCAGTGGTGTGACACATGACCTAACCTTGACACCCACTCGAATGAGCTAGGTCACAATATAGTTTTTAGAAACAAAAAATATATTTCTTTGTTCAACATGTATTAAACCCAAGTCGATATTTTTTCCCGAGAAATTGTCTTGTAAGGAAGTTAGCGAGTAGTGTACGGTTTTCTTTGTCCCTTCATTTAGTTTTGCAAAATATTACCGAATATAAACAATTCATACCACGTGGAAATAAATAGAAACAAGAAATAAAATATTGTATCATGTTAAGCATGTAATTTGTATAATAAAAAGAAGTGTATAGATTATAAATTTTAGAATTTTCAATAAAATAAACATAATGTATGAATAAATTGATAATATGTATGTTTGCTTGCAACATATATAAAATTAATTTTTGTTTTTTATTTTTAGAAACCCAGAAGTTTATACAATTCTTGCTCTGGAGGATGCTAGTGAACATGAAGATGTTGAAGGTGATTGTGTTGGAGAAATGTTAGATCTTCATAAAAGGTCTATCATAGAAACACAATCCATTGTGAAGCACGATGTAAGAATGTTTTTTTTTTGTACTAAAGTATTTGTTTATTTTCAGTTAATCTGATATCATGGTATATATATTAGACTTTTATATTGTATAGCAATTGAACAAGCGCGTATTTTTTCTTCCTTAAAATTAGGAAGAACCAGTGAGCTGCTACTGCAGTGCATCACACACAGACAACAATTATTCCACAGATGAACATGACTCTGTTCGTGATTCGGCTCATCGTCCTACTGCACATTCCCTCACACAAAAATTGGGTTTGCACCAGTCAGACTCAGGTGCAGACCTATCTGAATACCATGATCAACATGAGGCTAAAAGCATACAAAACCTGTTGGCATCTTATGGAAAAACTTTCCAAACTACAGAGACTAAACTGGAAGATGAATTTGAAAAAGTGAATGTACTTACACAGCACCAACAAGATAAAGACTTACAATTTAACTCTAAACTAGTAGATATTCACTCATCAGATCATCTTGCAGATAACATTGAAGTTTTAAATTTTAATCCATCCATTTGTAAGGAAAAGAAATTTCATATAGAAAATTCGTGTACTTTAGAAGACAAAGATTTTGAGATTCGTAATATATTTAAAAATGTGTCCTTGAATGATACACAAACTCGTAATAATGATGTCACATTTACGTATAAGCGCAACCGTAACTCTCGTGGTTATCCATATTATTCTATGTATTCTAAAACTAAAAGTCCAGTGGATATTGCATGGGAGAAATACTGGTCTCAAAATGGTGAACATGTAATTTGGACATCTTGGATTGCAAAATACGCGGATTACATAAATCCAGAATATCTCCAGCAAAATGCTTATTTAATAGGTGATGAAAGAGTGAACATGAAAGAAACTGTTGAAAAATTCTCAGAGCAGAACACATGTTTTCCCAGTCAAGCACATAGAAATTGTGAACTTGATCGCTCAAATTTTGAAGGACTATTTAACAAAAGTAACAATGCTAGTAATAATGAAATAAAAGTGAAGGACGCGTGTAGCATTAAGTTTTCGTTCGATGACATAATCAAACAAGAAATAAATGATAAAGATGCAGAAGAAAATAGAAAAAAGTTGATAAACTTTGAATTATCACCAGAAACTGGAGATGGTTGGAACCCATTGAGTCCTTTTAGTATGGAAGAAAGTTATAATCAACAATCTAATGCAGAAGATGAAAGACTTTTAACTAGGTGCGATTCTATTAATGAGTCAATAGCAAAAACAAACGCAACATCAGATTCCATGACAAATGTCACAAAAATGACCCTTACTAGTTCTAGTTGTGACTCCATTTCTACACATTCATCTAGTCTCATCAGTTCTGTAACTAGTTCCATTGAAAGCAATATAACAAATAGTTCTGATCAAGATAATGAATACACATCAGAAGATAATGATAAATATTGGCAGCATTTATGGAAAGAAAACTTCCAAATAGAATACCAAAAGCATTATGAATTATTTGTAGGGATATATAAAAGGGAGCAATCTGAGATTAGTAATCAAAGTTATAGCCAAGAACATAATGATGCAGAGATGAAAGAAGAAGAAACTGATGAAAGTATAGACCAAGATTTTAAGCAAAGAGAAACAGATATGTCTAATAAAATTAATATTTCTGAAAATAAGAGTGCATCTAACAAAATCTTGTCTTTTAAATGTAAGAAAGAAAAGACAAGAAAAAAACGATTAATTATGGAATCGGTAGGGATGCTCATACAAAACTTAACAATGAAATCAGAAGACAGTGAATCTGTTGTAGATAAAAATGAAAAGGCCAGCGAGATGGAATATTCACAAGAAGGTGAAAACAGCGATCAGACGTTTGTTACACAAAATGAAAATAGTGCAATTGTTTCTAGTAATACTAGCGGCAATAATAGTACTCAACGAAATTATTCTGATGGAGGGGATGGGGATAAGCCCAATGAAGATAAACCTATAACATTGAAACGAAGGTGGTGTTATCTGTTTTGAATGTTTTATTTTCAGTGCATCGAAATATATAAACACTTATACGACATTTACATCTGTTTTTTTATTCCAGTCACGAGGCTGACTACGACGATACAGGAGAGGGTCTAGAAATCGTAAAAAAGGCATTTTCATTGATGGGTTATACTTTTAACGAAAATCATGAGCAATCAAAATTACAAGGAGAAGTAGTATACAGGAAAAAGAATATTAGGTTACAAAATAGGCAATTAAAAATGAAATGCTATAGATCCAAGCCTGCAAGTAAACATATTTATTTCGATGATAACGGAGTGGAAATTACTAACACTATAGACAAAGTAAATTAATGTTTTATTTACTACAAAACATGGGAATATTTCGATAAGTAACTTGTCTTACTTTTTTTTCTTTTTCTTTTTTTTTTTACAGGTGAAACATTACCTATCATATTGCCCTGTTTTGCCATCAGCAGAAACAGAATTACAACCCTCTGAAAAAGGTTCCTACACAGCACAATTTACGTCAAGTTCTGATGATGAATGTGATCCTAGTCTTAAGACAAAGTTGCAAACAAAACGACTTCTATTTAGTAAACCAAGCACAAGTTCAGTAGAATCCGGAGCAGATAAAAGACAATTTGATGATGTTCGCAATGCTTTTAATATGTTCGATAAACAAGATAACGTTTTTAAAAGTGCCGAGGATAATAATATTTATTTTGATCAAGATGAAACGAGTGATTCTACAAAATGTATATCAGAAGATCAACTTCCCGAAGCTAATACTGACAACTTTGATGCATTGAATGCCGATATGGATATAGATGAAAAGGATAGTAACAACGAAAAACAAAGTGCGAAATTATCAGATGAAGATAGTGTAAAAAAGACGCAAAAGAAAAAACGAAGGAAGCAATCTAAAAGAAATATAAGCCTTCCAGTAGAAGTAGACAATGATAAAACTTTAATGAAATATTGGTTAAAGAGGTACAGCCTATTTAGCAAGTTTGATCAAGGCATTACATTGGATCGTGGTATGTTTTCTGATGCTATTTATATAATAAAGATTTATCATCTTTAAAGGACTAAAGATGATTTACAGAGAGCTGGTTTTCCGTAACGCCGGAAAAGATTGCCGAGCACATAGCCGAAAGATGCAAATGTGATATCATAATCGATGCATTCTGTGGCGCAGGAGGAAATGCTATTCAATTTGCTTTTACATGTGAAAGAGGTATGTTCGTTTGCGTAAAAAGTAGTTTGTATACAAATAAATTCACAATACTTTTCTTCTACGCAGTACTCGCAATAGATATAGATCCAGCTAAGATCCAAATTGCTCGAAACAATGCGCGAATTTATGGTGTTGACGACAGAATAGACTTCGTTGTTGGAGATTTCCTTAAGCTCGCACCAAAGTTAATGGCCGATGTTGTGTTTCTAAGTCCTCCATGGGGAGGACCTGGATACATCAAGAATGAAACTTTTGATCTCAATAACATTATGCTTCCCGTTGGTGGAGTAAATGTATTTAACATAGCAAGAAAAATCACAGATCATGTGGCCTACTATCTACCTAGAAATGTAGATACTATGCAGGTAAATTTTTTAGAATTCAAAGAGATTCAAAAATGTTTCGATTTCAATCTTCCATGATAGTATAATCTACTATACATTCATTATCTTATATCTTTATACATATATACAAATTTACAGCTTGCCATGTTAGCCGGAGTAGGTGGTGGTGTAGAAGTGGAGCAAAACTTTCTTGACAGAAAGTTAATAGCTTTAATGGCTTATTATGGCGAACTGCCCAGGGACTGTTAGTTGTGATATGATGTGTAATTTATGAGAAGCATCCGCATCAACTGCTTAAACAGAGGAACTTCTCACATTTCTTGAATTATTAGCTGTAAATAATAACACGTATCAATTTGCTTAGGCTATTCTGAAGAAAAGCAGTATTTTTTATTTCACTTCACGTTTTTTTACAAAATGCATATAAAAAAAAAAAACAATAGTTATAGAGTATAATTTACTGATATATTTTTTAATCTTTCTATTGAATTTTTTTTAAAATATTTAAAAATATATGTATACATATTTGTGAAATCCAACAATTAATATGTGAACACTCTTAAAAAAAAAAGTCTTAAATTCATTCTTCCATAGCAATAAGTGTTATTTTTACCTGATGGCTAATTAAGTCAAAAACATTAGCGCATTTCTCTTTAGTCCATCATGTAAAATATTATTTTAATCATATTGTGAATTATACCAGACATTGTAATTTACATTTTACAACGGTTTCCAGATTATTATTTTACAATTTTTATGTACACTTCTACTAATTTCCTATTAATTATCAATAAATACATTCAAAATATTAAAGATGTTTTAGTATATAATAAATTATTTCTGTAGTAAAAGTTAAAATAAAAAGTCTCAAAATTACTTTCTCTCAACTATAAAATCTTATTTTAGGACAAAATAAAGCTTTCTTTCAACAAATGTGAACATAGAATCGTTAATGCAATTGATTGATTGAAAATGTGCATACGCATTCGTTTCTTTAAAATAATAATACAAAATTTAATTTTTTTCAAATGGAACATTTGAATTATTAAATTTGCTTTTATATATGTGATGTATAATTCCAAAAATAGTATCACAACTGGAATTTAAAAAATTAAAATATTAATCCTAGTTTTTTTATCGAAAAAGAACAAGTTGATTCATACCCTCTAAGTAACGCGTGACTAGCATTTCTTCATTTACTTTTGAAGTATAAATTTCTGGTTATTTTTAAAAATACAGAAATATTTTTTTTCGTAACTCATCTTTCTATATTTTCACGTATCAACATTAATTGTTGTTGCACCTGACTCCTCAGGTTCTGCAGGTATAGTTATACCGCCAGTATCTATACTTTCTTCTTCTTCTCTTGGAATTTTTAAAAAACAATGCATTGTTTCCTCATCTTCTTGTTCAATTATTGAATTATTTTTAGTTCCACTTTCTCTTGTTGGCAGTGAACCTTCAAGATGTTTTGATGGTATTTGGATCGTAATCGTTTGTGATGTACCATCTGCAGATGTTGAAGAAGACATTAAGTTTGCTTCTAAAGTATCTCCCACTTTTGAAAAGGCACCCAAGCAACTATAAATCAACTGTGCTGCTGCAATGTTACCAGGAAATACTTCAACATTTTCGCTATCTAAAGATAACATATTTTATATTAATATTTATTTTAACAGTGCTTTAAATTTCAGGAAAATATAAAACATACCCTTTTTTTGCATATTGGCTTTAATTAATCCCTTTTCATGACCTCTTACATGTTGTATATAGCTTTCATTTTTCACAGTTTTAAAAGGACATAAATCACATGTAAATAAACCAGATAATAAGGGATGCCGCGACTTTAAATGGTTTTTATAACTACTACTTTGTATTGCAGTGTAAGAACAATGGGGGCATTTATAAGGTCTAAATCCTATAAGTATTATTTGAATTCATAATTTTATGATGTACACATATTTCATTTTTCTTTTATTTGCACATACCTGTGTGTTGCATGATGTGACGTCGCAATGTGTTATGATCCCCAGTTTTATATTCACAAAGTTCACAACTGAAGGGTTTATCACCAGTATGTTGACGCAAATGCATTTGCAACATTGCTTTTCTAGCGCTAGAATGCCCACAAACATTACAAACATATGGGCGCAACTTCGAATGAACTGCTTGAATATGACTTTTCAAACATTTGGAATTTGCATAAGTCTTTCCACACATATCACATTTTTTTGAAGTATACCATCGAGTTACTTCCAATGTTTTACGATCCAAATGCATGACTCTGTGATTACGTAACTGACTGGCTTGTTTAAAACATTTGCCACATTCGGAACATTCATACTCCCGAGTCTCACTATGCACTCGCATATGAGTCAAAAGTTTCACCATTGTAGCGCTTTTATATGCTTTACATATTTTACAAGTAAATAATCCTATGTCTAAAAAAGAAATATTTATTTTTATACAAAATATCTTTCAATATTTTATCATTCAAACGATGGTATTAGATACTAACCAATTTGATGCTTTTTCCACAAATGTAAGCTACATTGTCTCCACTTAGTAAATTTCATATCACGACAAACAGTACATTTAAATGCTGTTCCATTTTGTGATTCTGTGTGACAAAGTGCATGTTGTTGCATTGTTTCTTCGGTAGAGAATTTGTAAGGACATCCTCGATATGAACACCTTATAAAATGCGCAATTTATGAATAAATAAATAAAACATGTGTGCTCTTAAAAAGTTAATAATAATTTACATACTTTATGTTTCTTTCCATCAATTCAATCATTTTTTTATTGAGCATATATTCAGAATTTAGAGGTTTTTGAATTTTAACTTGACGTTTTATATCATTATTTTCAACACTCTGCCCTATACGTTCCAGTAACCCAGAATCTTTTGTGTCATCTGTTACATTTTCTTTACCACCTTTATTAGCTCCTGTATCTGTTAACTGATGATCCTAAAACAAGTATTGATGTGATATTTTAACTGTACAACATGAAATTCCTTATATTAAA